TTAATGATTTTCCATTTACATATCCTGCTTGATGAAATGTTTGTGCAGGCCTTTTGTCCTTTTAAAATTGATTTTAATGTTGAGTTTAATTCTTTACATGGGAATATTCTTGATGCTAGTCTTGTTGGATAGGAGATAAAAATTTTTAATATGATAATGTTCTGTTTCTCTTTTTGGTTTAAGGTAAGATTTTTTTTTTAAGAAAAAATACATATATGTATAGCTGTCAAGATATCACTACTCCTAAAACTTTTGTGTGGAAGGCAGTAGCATTTTTCTTCCAAAGCTTTGTGGTCAATGGTACTTTAAGAATCTGTCCTAGCTTTCCCAAATACTTTCTTTTCTGTTCACTGCAGAGTTTTACTGACGACAGTTAATATAGAAATATAGCTGTTTATGCTGTTAACTGTTTGGTGCTAATGAAGAATTCTGTTCCTCTTAACTATTAGAATATGTTTGTTGATAGAAGTTTGTAACCTGAAGTGCATTCATTGATGCTAGAATTGTGTTTTTAAAAATTCCTATTCTGATAAAGATAGTGGAAGAATTTAGATCCTTTTCTGATTTGTAAGGTATTTTTTTTCTTTTATTTCTGCAGTACTCTTCATTCCTTTTTAATCTCTTGCTTTGTATCTTTTGTGCATTGATGAATCTTTAAGGTCATCACAGGTCTATCCTCAACCTGAAGGTGCTTCGGGAGTTATTGGTGGACAGAATGTAGTTGCAGGCATGGGCACAGCCATGCAGGGTGAATTTGCTGCTCGGTGCTTAATTTCCTTGTGTCTTAGAGTTCAGAGTAATGAGCACTTCATCTTGAGGATGTGTGACTGCTCATTCATGGAGAAGTTCGTTGACAACCACTGCTCTGCTCCTGCCTCACCCTGGAATTTCTTTTCTAGATTCGTTCATTATTTTGCATGGTTGAACTTGATTAATCTTTAGGTTTCTTTCAGTTCAGAATTTCTGTCACTGGGTTTTTCTTTCTTCTTACATGCCTAGAAACCTATCCCTTTACCTCCTTCCCCCCAGAACCCCTGCCAAAATAGAGCATGTAAACACTGCGGATCACTCAGGGAAGCAGAAATCAGTTCATACCTAGTCTATCCTAGAATCAAATCTGTAGTTGCAATGTAATTTGGTGTTTTAGAAATCTGACTGTTTGTTTAAATATACCAGGGCATCCACCCTGTGATTAAAGATGCTGACTTCATTTCCTTAGATTAGGTGGGTAGGTGGAGGAATTACTGTCTGATATTTCAGTACAGCACTAGCTTATTGATCAAAACGATACACATTTGACAAAATGAGTTTTGATAGATCCCAGATGGTAGTTTAATTCTGTGTCATTTATTTTTAAGTAACATTGATAAGGGCCTGGGCGGTGGCCTAGTGGCAAAAGTGCTTGCCTTGAAAGCCCTGGGATCCCATATGGGCACCGGTTCTAATCCCGGCAGCCCCACTTCCCATCCAGCTCCCTGCTTGTGTCCTGGGAAAGCAGTCAAAGATGGTCCAAAGCCTTGGGTGACATGGAGGAAGTTCCTGGCTCCTGGCTTCAGATCGGCATAGCATCGGCCGTTGCAGTCATTTGGGGAGTGAATCAGCAGATGAAAAATCTTTCTCTCTGTCTCTCCTCCTCTCTGTATTTCTGACTTTGCAATAAAGATAAAACAAATCTTTAACAAAAAAGTGACAGTGATAAACCTCACAATGAATGCAAAATCCACTTTGTTGCATGAGATCCTTTTGCTGTTAAAAAATCAGAGTGCCCCCCTTTTTTTTTTTTGCCAATATCCACAAAATGATTTTGTCACTGACAATATGCATAACACTGTACCTATATAATTTTGTTTAGTTTCTTAAATATTACTTAAGTATGCAATAAAAATATATATATTTACATTTAAGAAATGCAACAATCAATGAGGTCCTCTGTAAACATAATCTCAATATATTTTCCTAATTATTTCATACATAAATAGCTTAATCTACAGTCACAAATAAGACAATAATTTTTAAAGCCTAGAAGTATATACCAATTCTTGAGTAGGCCAAAATTGACCTCTGATTTTTTTAAATAACATGCTGCTATTTGCAGTGTTAATTATTTGAATGATTTGTTACAAGTTCTTATTGTCTCCCCAACTTTTCTGTCAGTGTAAGATGTTATACATTTAAAAAATTGAAATGATCAAAAGCATACATTGAAAAAAGAAAAAGTTATTATGTAAATATTAACCCCTTGAAACTTATTTCAGCTTGTCTGTAAAACAGAACATGCAAATAAAGGATGAATGTTTTTGCTATCGTTTAGATGGTATGTAACAAAATATGAAATTTGGGAAATGATAAAATCAAATTCAATTCTTATTAGTCTTGCAAAAAATTTCCACTCAGATTCTGTGACACGGAAAGAATTGACACACTCAGAAGTTTTCTTTCTAAAATTTACCTTTGAAACATAACTTTGGTTAAAACTTTAAGGGTAAAAAAAAATCCCACAAAATGATTTTATAATGTAGTATTTGTAACCCCTGATGCAGAATATTAATTTTTGTTTCATGACTAGAAACCCTTAATCTTCAGAAAATATTAAGGATCTGTTCACACACATCACCATTTAATGATTTATTAAGTAACCACTCAAGATTTATTCAGTAAACATTCCAATTTCTTTTATATAATGAACTAAGTTTTACTTTATATGCTTCTTTAGGTGTTAATGTATTAGCCTAACTCCATGTATGGATAAAAATTTAGAAAGAGAAACACTCTTAACTAAAATTCCTATTAAATGACTCAAGCTATAATACTAAGCTAAATGCTGTCAGTATTTTGTAAGTCTATGTTTCTAAAAGAAGGCTGTTTTCACTCTTGTCTTTCTCTGAAGGTTGCATTTTATCAAGTAAGTCTGTTAGGCAGTCACCTGGAGATAAATGTCATAGGTGTGCTAAAGCAGTGGTAATCCTTTCATACACCGTCATTTAGAATGATATCCTTATAGAGAGCACACAGTATTAGCTGGCTTAGACAGTTGTTAGTTTTCTCTTTTTATTGTAAGAAACAGTCCTTGCAGTAAGTCATGTGGGAGATTTTTCGTGCTATTTCTCCATGACTTATCGAAAAAAGAGCATGATTATTTAACCAGGCTTAAGGTCTTCCAGCAAAATTTAGTCATCTAGGCAGAGTGATACACACTCCTGTGACGGGGAAGTATTGCTTATGATTTACCAATAGATATCTGTATATGTTTTCTCGTCATTTCAATATGTTCTATGTGTTTCATGTGGATCTCAAAGCCTTCAAACATAAACACCAAACCAAAACCGAACAATGCTGTTCCCAGGGAAGTGTCGTCTCTCCTTTTTCTTGTAGCAAGGTACCTTGTGATAAAAATACTGCAGTACATCAGTGGTAATTAAAAAGCACTGCTTCCTTTTAGAAAACCGCCAGGATTTGCATAAACCACTTGGTTGTCTGGTAAACGATGATCTGCTCTGTCAGTCTCTGTGCATTTTTAGCATTGTTTAGATTCTTTAGCATTTTTAGATTGTTCATATTTTTATAGATAAGGAAAGTTATAGATTTGAAGATGAGTATTTCTTAAATTCTTCAAATAGCAGACAGCTGATGAAACTGTATCTCTAAAGTCTTTAAAACAGAAGAAACATGATCTATTTCTTTGTGCATTGTTTTAAATGTATGAATAGAATAAAGTCCTTTGTGCTGGGCATACCCAGGCTCATTCTTTGTCTTTAGTACTACTGAGATCTCATCAAGGGCCAGTTCTCAAAAGAAATTGACTTGGGAGTTGGAAAAGAAGCTTATTGATATTTCTGTTGTCATTTCTGCAAGACATTTACTGCAGTAGAAACCATAGCCTGGCTGCTTCTGTTTGGTATTTGTTCAGATAGATTGCCAGAGATAGTGTGAGCGAGAGTTTGCTAGAATGCATTGTCGTCATTTTGCTGGACTCCAGTCCCGGAGAAGCAGATGGATGTTGGAGTTGTTGTAATGAAGTACATATCTAGCTGATAGTGAAACGATAGCCACCTTCCAGATTATTTATTGGTATTTATTATCTAACAACAGCAACCATAATTTATGAAACTTTGCATTGCTGAAGCCTGGCAGTGCTTCAGGTAAATTTCTATAAGCCATACCAGATGATTTTTCATATTCCTCAATTTTTCAGGTGCCAATAGCTTGAAAATGTTTCTTAAGTTTATACCTAGCTGCACACTCTTCCCCCGTCTCAGACCCTTACGAGGTGTAATAAAAGAGGAATTACCTTATTTATTTCGTGTTTAAAGAGGATCTAATATGTGTCTGCTTATTTGTAATTGACATATAACTGGGCATACTTATGGGATGGATTGTAATATTTCAAAGCATATAGACAATGCATAGTGGTCTGATTAATTAGCATGTCTGTCAACTCAAATGTTTGTCACTTGTGTTGGGAACAGATTCTGTTAGCTATTTTGAAAACACAATGTTTCCAGTGACCTCACTGTGCTGTAGCTCATTACAAAGATAGCACTCCCATCCAACTGCACCCTTGCACCACCAACCGTGCCGCTCTCTCTGCTCCCTACTACCCTCTCCAGCTCCCCGTAATCACTGTTCTACTCTCTACTTCTGTGAGATCAACTTTTGAAGCTTTCGCAGCTAAGTGGGGACATACAGTAGTTTTTTTTCTGGGTTGGCTTATCTCGCCTAACCCAATGTCCCCAGGCCCATCTGTGTTGCAAAAACAGACAGGACCGTGCCCTTTTTAATGACTGGATAATATTCCATGGCATATGGGTCACTAAGTGCTTCTTATGCATTCATTGACCACCAGAACAGCTAGGTTGACTCCAAACCCTGGCTGCTGTGAACAGGGCTGCAATAAACAGGGCAAGAACAGTTAACCCTTTGGCATCCTGATTTTCTTTCCTTTGGATGTATACCTACCGTGGGAATGCTGCATTGTATGCCAGTTCTGGTTCTAGATTTTTGAGGAGACTCCATACTCTTTTCCAAGAAGCTGCACTGATCTAAGTCCTCATCAGCGGCACATCAGCTTCGTTCTCACTCTACATCCTCGCCAGCATGTGCTGTCCTTTGGCTAGTTGCCATTGTCACTGGAGTGAGATAGCATCTCATTGTGGTTTTGGCTTCCCTTTTCCTGATGATTTCATAAACCTGTTGACCATGTGTGTATCTTGTTTTGAGGCATGTCTACTCAGATCCCCCACCCTTTTAAAAAAATATTTAATTATACAGAGAGGAGGAGAGACAAAGAGGAAGATCTTCCATCTATTGCTTACTCCCAAGCAGCTGCAATGACTGGAGCTGTGCTGATCTGAAGCCAGGAGCTCAGAGACTTTTCTGGGTCTCCCACGCTTGGTGCAAGGTCCCACGTCTTTGGCCTATCCTTCACTGCTTTCTCAGGCCATAAGCAGGGACCTGGAAGGGAAGCAAGACTGCTGGGATTAGAACCGGTACCTGTGTGGGATCCTGGTGCATGCAAGGTGAGGACATTAGCTGCTAAGCTGGGCCCAGACCCCATTTTTTAAATTGGATTTTTGAGGGGTCTGTTGTGCTGAGTTCTCTCATCAGCTGAGCAGTTTACAAATGTTTTCCCCCATGTAATTCCTGTGAAGAATGTTATTGGTATTACAGCAGGGTCTGCTCTGAATCTAGATTAATTTGAGCAGTACTGACATTTAAAAATAGGATTTCCTTCAAATCCATGACCGTGGATGACTTTCCACTTCCTAGTGGCCTCCTTAGTTTCTTTTACCCCCTTGCTTTGATTTGCTACATGATATTTTCCAGTTTTTGCTGTTGTTATTGTAAATGGGATCTCTTTCATGATTTCTTTTCCATGTTGTTTGTTATTAGGGCATTGAAATGCTACTGATTTTGCAAGGTGATCATGTATATTGCGTTTTTTTTTTTTTGTTGTTGTTGTTGTTGTTTTTTTTACTGAATTCACCTATCACTTCTAACAGTTTGGGGTGGTGGTTTTTTTGGTAAGTTTTAATTTTTCTGTATATAAAATTATGTCAACTGTACATATGGGCAGCTTGACTTCTTTCCAAAGTGGATTCCTCTGTGACTTTATTATTTAATTGTTATGGGTGGCAGTCCCACTACTGTGTTAATAAGAATGGTAAGAAGAACATGGCTAAACATTTGGTTTAATTTCCGTGTGTGTGTAACTTCCACAGTTCCTCTGGCTGATTGCTAAGTGTATTTCACAGTTGCCTAAGAGAATACATGATTTAGATTTTAAAAATAGGTTGACACTTGTTGTGTGGTGTAATGTAGGGTCTATTCTGAGAACTGTTCCATATACTGATGAGAACAATGTATACTCCACAGCTGTGGGAAGAAGTGTTCCACTTGTGTTAAATTCCTTTGGTCTATAGCACAATATAACTCTAGTGTTTTATTGTTGATTTTCTATTTCGATGACCTGTCCATTGATAAGTGGGATATTGAAGTTCTCAACATCTGTTGTCGTGAAGTCTCCTTCTGTTAGATGTAAGGGTATTGGATCCATATTTGGATGGTCCAGTGGTACATACTTGTTTTTACAATGGTTAGATCCTCCTTCTGAATTGATTGTTTTATCATTAATTGTGTGTCAGAAGTAAACATCTTGTGTTCAGTACATAGTTGAGTCTTTTGTTCTCATCCATTCCATCACTCTATATCATTTTGCTGGGGAATTTAACTCATTTGCATTCAAGGATATTATTAATGAGTAACAACTTACTTCTGTTATTCTGTTGGCCATTTTTTCTGGCTGTTTTGTATATCTTGTTACTTTCTTCTTTCTTATTGCTAGTCTTTGTGGTTTGGTGACTGCAATGATAAAATTAGTTTACTTTCTCTTTCTCATTTGTGTATGTGGCCGACCATGAGGTTATACTTCTGTGGGTTTTCATGAGGGTAGTTATTGTGCTACTGCTTCTAGATGCTGGGCTTCTTGCAACACTTCCTACAAGGCCAGCCTGGTGGTGATGAATCCCCTTAGTTCCTGCTGATCTGAGAAAACGCTCACTTCTTCTTTGCTTCTGAGGCTAGCCTTGCTGACTCTAGGCTTCTTGATTGATAATTTTTTTTTCTTTCAGCTTTCTGAGTGTGTCATTCTATTCTCCCCTGGCCTGCAAGGTTTCTGCTCAGAAATCTGCTGTCCGCCTGATAGGAGTCCCCTGAAACGTGCCTTGGTGTTTTCCTTTTGCTGCTTTAAGAATTCTTTCAGAATTCTCTCATTGTTATATCTGCTTGGAGTTCTTTGACCTTTATAGATCTGGATGTCCATATCTCTTCCAAGATTTGGGAGGTTTTCAGCTATTATTTCATCAGATATCCTTTCTTTGCTTTTATCCATCTCTTCACCCTTCGGAATTCCTGTAATGCAAACATTTGTGTGCTTAATGCATCACAAAGGTATTGTAGATTCCTTTTGTTTTTTTTTTTTTAACTTATTTGATTGCAAAGTCATATCAGGTTTATGGAAAGTTAGCGATACAGACAGAAAGTCCTTTAATTGCTTGGTTCCCTCCTCAAATGGTGACAATAGCTGGAGCTGAGCTAATCTGAAGCTAGGAGCCTGGAGCTCCTTCTGGGTGTCCCACATGGGTGCAGCGTCCCAAGGCTTTGGGCCATCCTCGACTGCTTTCTCAGGCCACAAGCAGGGAGCTGGATGGAAAGTGGATTAGACAGAACAAGAACAAGAGCCCATATGGGATCCCAGTGCATGCAAAGTGAGGATTTAGCCATTGAGCCATTGTGCCAAGCCCAGTAGTCTTTCTGTATTCCTTTTCATTCCTTTTTTATTTACTTTCCTCTGACTGGGCTAATTCAAAAGAGCTATTTTCAAGTTTAAAAACCCTTTTGATCTGCTTGATCCAGTTTCTTGTTGTAATTTTCAATTGTATTTATTATGTTTATTGAACAAAAGGCACTTTTGTTTGGTCTTCTTTGTGATATATTTTCCTGTGTCTAATGCTTTACTCAATTTGCTCAAATTATTTATCTTTTTTTTTTCATTTCCTCAAAGTGCTGTTGATACTGTGCTATCTCATGGAATATCCTTAAGACTAATGTATTGAATTCCCTTTCAGGCATTTATTTAGCTTCCTTTTTTTAAAAAAAATGTTGTTTAGAAAATCATTTCTTTCCCTTGAAAGTGGCAGTATTTCCTTGCTTTTTCATATGTCTTCTGTCATTGTTATCTGAGCTGGGGCAACAGTAATTTTTTTTTTTTAACTTTAGGGAGAAACTAAGGTGTCAGTTTGCCATGTTATGTTAGCTTTGGCACTTCATTTTCTGTGTGACTTCTTCAGTTGTAGACCTTTTAGCAGAGCCTACTGTTGCTTTGGTAGCTGAAGCTGCAAGTGTTATTACTGCAGGGATATAAAATTTTGCTAGGGACAGGGCTGTTGCTGCTGGCTGTTGCACTGGGTTCGAGTCCAATGGAAGCTGGTAGCCAGTAGTTATGTAGCACAATCCCTCATAGGTTGAGGGCTGTGGTCTTGCTGCTGGGCTGGGCTGAGCTTGGGCACCTGTGGGTGCTGTGGCCTATGTGACTGCAGAGGTTCACCAGCACGTTAGGGCTGCTGCCTGGCTAGCTGTCAGGTTGGGGAAGGCATATGTAAGGTTGCTGGCTGTGTGTTGGCTCGTCTCTGTGAAGTTCATCTGTTCCCTGAGGGTTTGGAAACTGAAGCGTCAACCATTCTAGTGCTTGATATTGAACAGCTGGGTTTATGACATGAGGAAATGTCTTAATTTATCATTTTGTAATGTTAGTGCAGAGTCGGAGCGGCCCAGTCACAAAAGATACACAGAGACTCTTCCATCACTGTGCTGATTTGTCCAGAGATGCTGTGTATACCTGTTTACTCCTCAGAACAACCCCGTGAATACACATATAGCTTTGCAATTCTTTATCAAAACCTCGTTTAGGTGTTTTCAGAATTTTAGTTTTTAGAATTTAGAAAGGAAATCAGAGTATATGCAATATATTATATGGAATCTCCAGTGGGCCTGGAATGCAGCTCATAGGCAAGCCCGTTAGTATTTTTGCAGAGAAATACATAAATAGTTCCACTGAAGAGAAAAAAGCTGCAGGTGCTTCTCTTTTAATTCAAATCGAGTTTTTACCATGATATGAGTTTGGGCATCACCTTAGGAACATTTTTTTTTAAATTATATTCTTGGTATTTCAAAGTTGAAGATAAGTGTCGACCTGTGCCATTTTGATTTGTTTGATAGGCAGCATTACAGAGAGACAATGACACAGAAATCTTCCATGTGCTGATTCACTTGCAAAATGGCTGATCAACTGGGGTTGGACCACCAGGTTGAATCCAGAAGCTTCTTCTAGGTCTTCTACACAAGTGCTATGGCTCAACCAATTGGGCCATCTGCTGCTGCTTTCCCAGATGCATCAGCAGGGAGCTGGATCAAAAGTGCAGCAGCCAGGACATGAATTAATGCCTAAAGGAGATGCCAGTGCTGCAGGCAGTGGCTTAATTTGCTGTGCCACAATGCTGCCCCCAGACTTGTCCTATTATCACCCTTTTCATAAACAAGGGAGACAGGTCCAGAGAGGGTGTAAGGGTGTGACTATGTGACTATTTGAAAGAAAGGCTAGATGTAAATATTAAAGTGGGTTAGTTCCATGATAAATTATTGATTTATAAAGCTTATGAAGAATAACATATAATGTCCCATTTTGTGGAAAAAAAACCTTTTTCTCATTCTCTATAGAGAAAGAGAAATATATCCAACATATATCAAGAGAATTTACTTTTGGTAGGATTTCTGAGGACAAAGAATAATTAAGAGCATATTTACATTTTTGCCTTATATGCACCTGTGTGATTTATGCAGATATCTAAAAGGAATTAGAGAAGAAAAGATCTGTATCATCTAATAGATTCCTCTCCCTTGTTTCAGAAAAGTAGAAGAAATCTTGACACTTTCTCTTCTGCCGTACAGCATAGGAGTAACCCATGTTTTATATTGGTCATTTGGGCAGTAATTACTCTTTTGGATTCAGTAAAGAGTCAGTTTTCTCAAAACTGTGTAAGCTTAATATTTCATATAGAACAAATGGAGTTTAACAAGGTGAAATATCACAAGTGAAAACAAAGTTCAAATTGTGTCAGGATTAAGGCATTGTGTCTTAGCTGACAGGCATTTAGCTAGCAGTATGCTAAATGAGCTGACAGCGTGAAGCAGCCAACAGGAATGTGAATGCGATCTTCAACTATATATCAGAGTGCAGTGTTCAGAATATGAGGGTTAGTCAAATCTTTCCAAATCCAGGACATATATGGAGTCTAGTATTTTAGTCTGATGGCATAGTTGAAGGGATGCACACATTGTGATCTTTTCCAGGTAGATTGTTCAAGAACAAGGTCCTCTAAAGCGCAGGTGAGGCTATTGTGCAAGTTTAAATATTACTAGCAAGTTTGGCCTGCTGCTCGTTATAGTTGGCTGTTGTGCCTGCTCAGATGAATAATTTTAGCTCCATATGGATTGAATGCCAGCTGCATGCCACATCCTGAGTTGTTAAGCATTTGGGATCCAAAGATGAAAAGATGTAGGCTCTGCCTTTTCTAGTGTAACAGAGGACTGGAGTTGTGTACAGCTGTTTTTAACACAACAGGTTACTGGTAGACATTCACACAGAAGTCATGAGCAGCTTCTCCTGTGGTGATGGTGAGAGATGAGTGGGCAAAGCCTTCAGAGTCAGCATGAGTTCTATGTTGGGTTTTGAAAAAGAAATTGATCTCAATGAATGAAATGAGAAGATCCAAAAAGGACAGCATTGATTTTTTTTCCAGATATTTGAAAGGATGCCAGATATAAGAAGGATGGAAGTTGTTCATTACTACCTTGGGGGCTCAGAGACCTACTGGGATGGGACATGGGGAGATGAATTTGGGCTCAGTCTTTGAAGTGTGTAGTAGAATTACCCAAAGGTGTTTTTGTAGTAGTTGGAGTTTCCAGTCTCTGGTGGTGTTACAGCACAGGCAAGGCAGCTGCTTGTCAGCACTACCAGTGTGAGGGAAGATGTTGCCCTGTGTTCCCAGGGAAGTGTGGTGAAATACTTCAGGGTCAGACTGCTAGAACTGATGCCTCTCTGTGTTGGCCCTAGAACTTACCTGCAGTTGTTTTGATAGGTGAAATTAAAGTGCTTAGAATGGTTCCTGTTACAAAGTCAGTGCTAAATACGTGGCTAATACATATTAGTTCTAAGGGGAAGGCTAATCCTCCACCCTGTGGCACTGGCACCCCTTTGGACACCGGTTTTGTCCCAGCTGCTCAACTTGCAATCCAGCTCTCTGCTTTTGGTCTGGGAAAGCAGCAGAAAACAGACCAAGTACCTGGGACCCTGCATCCATATGGGAGACCCTGAAGAGTCTCCTGCCTCCTGATTGGCTTAGCTCTGTCAGTTGTATCCACTTGAGAAGTGAACCAGCAGATGGAAGACCTTCTCTATCCTTTTCTCTCTGTGTAAAATCTGTCCTTCAAAGTAGATAAAATCTTCAAAAAGTAAATATTTGTTTTTTATAGTTGATTTTCATTGAATGGGTGGTTAGTTGATACACTATTCAAAGTTCTCATTTTGGGTCCCAGTACGGTAGCATAGCATCTAAAATTCCTCACCTTGCATGCAACAGGATCCCATATGGGTGCCAGTTTGTATTCCATTGGCCCCACTTCCCGTTGTGCTTCTTGCTCGTGTCCTGGGAAAGCAGACTAGAATGGCCCAAAGCCTTGGGACCCTGCACCCATGTGGGACACCCGGAAGAAACTTCAGGCTCCTGGCTTCAGATCAGCACAGCTCCGGCCATTGTGGCTGCTTAGGGAGTGAATCATCAGATGAAAGATCTTTCTCTTCTGTTCCCTGTATATCTCTCTTTCCGGTAAAAATAAACCAACATATAAAGTTCTCATTTTGAAAGGCTGAATATTACATTTCTAGTCATGTAATTGTATAATGATACTACCATTAATTAAGAAGATGATAATGAAGGAATTGAAGAAAAAAAACCCCAAATTTGGTAGTATTCTCAGTAATAAAGAAATGAGTAGCACCCAGTGCGCTTGCGTTGGAGTTCATTGTTCTAGGAACCGTCCTGATCTGACCCTTTGAGGCCTTGGGATTTCTTCCCTACCCATCTGCAGCATTTTTCAAGGGGCAGACACTCCATGAGTCTCTTTAGCTCATACTTTTCTTTACTCGTAGGTAAAGACGCTCTGTGAAAGTCCAGCTATTGAGACTGAAGAGAATGGATGAAGATCACTTAACCCAAGAAGTCTTGGATAAGTTTGTTAATTCTCATGAGCAAACGTATGAAGAGTTTCTGAGCAGTTTTACTTATCTTTCCAAAGGTAAGATGGAGAGGTAAATTGTTTATAGCAGTAGGGACCAAACATTTTTTTAAAAAATTTAATTAAAAAGTTTTAGTGGGTATAAATTTAATGGATACATATTTATGGGATACTTTGTGATATTTCAGTACACGTATATATTGTATCATGTCCATGTATTTATCTCTTTAAATATGTTGCATTTTTTTTTTCATAGTGAAAATTTCCAAAGTTCCATTTTCTATTTTTTTTTTAATGGTGAAAGATACAATATATTAACATTCTTTGTAGTTACCCTGCTGAGCATTAGAACCCTAAAACTTATTGTTATCATCTGGCTATAGCCTAGATTATCAGCCTTTCCCCATACTTCCCAGCCTTCTTCTCTGCCCAGCCTCTGTTACCTTCCCTCATACCTTTCAATTATGTTCTCGAGGTACGATCACGTGATGCTCGTCTTTCTCTGCCTTGATTTTTTCCACTTCTCATAAAGACTTGAAGTTCCCAGTTGTCACAAATGAAAAGATTTAATTTGTTTTTGAGGATGAGTAATATTCCATGGTGTATATGTGCCACATTTTCTTTTTTTTTTTCAAAAGGGTTGACTTATTTATTTGAAATTCAGAGCTACAGAGAGAGATGTAGACAGAGAAAAATGTATTACATCTGCTAACTCATTTTCTGGATGACTGGAACAGCCAGGGCTAAGCCAGATTGAACCAAGGAGCTTCTTTTGGATCTTCTAGATGGCGGTAGGGACCCAAACACTTGACCCATCAGTTAACTCATTTCCCAAGCCATTAGCAGGCAGCTAGTTCAGAAGTGGAGCAGCTAGGACTCAAAGTGGTACTCATATGTAATGCCAGCATCACCGGTGGCAGCTTTACTTGCTGTGCCATATGCTGGCCCCACATTTTCAACAATTTTCCGAATCTTACTCTAGGTAAATGTGTTGGATATTTTTTCATGAAGATGATTTCTGAGCTTTCATTCCTGATCAGATTGTTGTTAATCGTATTTGTAACGGATGCATATGAATATCAGTGTTTTTATATATCCAAGAGTTGTGTTATGGGGTCAAAATCATTGAACTTGGGAGCTAAAATTGACCGGAAGGTGGACATTTGGTGTTGCTATTCAGATCAACTTGGCAAGCTGATATCTCATATTGTGTACCTCTCTGTAAATCTGCCTTTCCAACAAAAATAGTACATTTTAAAAACTTAACAAATAAAGATTAGGAGCTCTGCAGGCTCCCTGGTTTGTAAGCTGTCTATCCCTTAACACCATCTACAAATGTGGGCCTATATTATTTACTTCATTCATCTGATTGGCTCCTTGGGGTTTGGAGTTGTAACTTTTGTTCTGGATTCTGCTGCAGAGTATCATTGGCTTGCTCTCAACTTGAGCATGTCTGGGTCATTGATCCCTGCTTGAGGATCCGTGCAAGGCTATTCCTACTGCATGCAGTGGCATACTACGCTGCCTTGAAGACCCTGACAATATATCAGATACGAAGCTCACTCCAAAGTTTACCTGGGGACAAGGGACCAGTATTTTTAAAAAGTTTCTCTGGTGTATCTAATGTGTACACAGGATTAAGACTGGAGTGTTTCCTGATTGCAAGTTCCTAACACTGAAATTTCTTGTTATGGTTCCTGTATCCTGAGCAAATATAAAAGAAGGGACAATGAAAATGAAAAGTTATTCTAATCTGTCTTATTGTGCAAGATCCAAGTTGTATATTCCTAAATCTGAAAATCTAAAATCTGAAATGTTGTAAAATTGTATGCTTTCTGAATGTCAATGGATGCCAAAAATATGTGGCAGTCAAAACTGCAAGTAGATTAAAAATAGTTTGTAAAATTACCTGTATGTTATAAGTAACTGGATGAATACAAAACACTTAATTTTTGTGTTTAGACTTGGGTCCCATCTCTAAGATGTATCCTCATGTATATGCAGCTATTCCAGAATCTAAAATCTGAAATTCTTCTGGTTCCAAGCATTTTCAGATAAAGCACACCCAACTTCAGAGTAGCATTGATATCTATTTTGTTTGCAGTTGGAAAACATGCAATGTATTATTTAAACATGTAGACAGATGCTTTAAATACGTAGGCAGGTGAAGCATTAAGAAACTGCGCAGTTAACTTGGAATTGTCTGTTAATGATCTTGGTTCACATGATATGTGTAGATCAAATTGTTGAGAATAGCTAAATCATCTTTTAGTCCATGAACATGGGTTTAGACAGATACTTGCTTTGTTAGAACGTAATGACTCATACTTTTGTTTTTCTGGACTCAACCCTGTCAGTAAGAATGGCTGGTAAAAGGTGACAGAAATAAGGGAAAAAGTGACAGAATTTCTGAATTTTGGTATGGCAGTGACATTTTGACACGCTAAATTATTTTTGAAAGTATTTGTAAAGTTGACTTTATTTTGAGCCAGAAACATACAATTTTCTGTTCATAGTAATGACAGATTCCCTGATATGTATATCTCAGTCAAAGTTAAAAGCTTTTAAAATCTTTGCTTTCTGTTTTTTTTTTAAGTCTTTCTCTTGACTCTTGCTCACATGTATGCCACTAACTGCTGCAAGCTCCTCACCAGCTCCTAAGGCTGTCAGTCCACGTCCTCGCTGGGTAGCACAACTCAGGAGGGATCGAACCTCATCACTGAGCTAATACACTCTTCAGACTGTGCCCACAGTGACATTTCCAATGTAGAAAAATAAGGAAAGGGACTTTGTTTCTGAGCACAGCGGTCCTTCTTTCTTTATTCACACTACATGTAAGCCTTAAAGAAGAAATGTGCAAAGAATCAAAAGTAGCAACTTTGGCACCAGAAGAGATTAGATGACAGAGCAGGAGCAAGAGAGAGAGAGAATTCTGGATTTGAGTTAAAATTCCATTTCAGTGTTTTGGGTTAAGGCTGCTAGGCTGCTAACACTCCTGTGTGTAAGCAAGAATGAAGGATGTGGTTTTCCTTTTTGGCTCAGTTGGTTTTGGCTCGGTTGATCTTGGGTTAACTACAAAAAGGCATTCAGCAGAAAGTTGAAGGACCTGTCCCGAGACTGAAGATGCTGTCCAGACCGGAGAGAAACAGTTGAGTGGCAGGCTACAGAGGGCTAGACTTGGTTTTGTACCCTAGAACAGGAATTTTTTGTGTGTGAGGACTTGGATATTTTTCTGGGGCTACAGTTTCCTTATTTCTAGGGGTAAGGAGTATGTTCGCTTTTCACATTCTGGTGCATCATTGCATGCTGAGAAGGAAACTGTTGCAGATGCAGTAACTTCATTTTGAATTCAGTGTGGAGCCTCAAATTGAGCTGAAATAAATGATGACGCAAGTTACATAAACTGCATCTCCAAGCATACTAGTTTTTTTTTTTCCTTTCAAAATATCCCTAGGTGGCACTTCACATTATAAACTAATGACCTGCAAAAATTCCTCTTCAAGCAACAAAGAATTGTGAGTGCAAAAATAGGTCTTAAATCAGTAATCATCCCCTCCCCACCGTGCTGCAGAAATACTTAAGTACCTTTGGAAAAACCAGTCAGGACCTAAGGGCAGGCCCAAGAGCTGATTTGTGGACAGCTGGATTGATGGAGGTTGAGATGGTTAGCTCTGTTTATGAAAGATGCCAAAACTGTTCTTCACACTGTTTCAGAGCCCTTCATTTGTCTCCATGCGTTTGGTGGTCTTGCTGCTGTGAGCGAATCTTTGCTCTGCAAAAGTGGTTACCGTCATGCATACATAGTGCTCGAGTCCACTACCATTTCCACTTATGACTGTTCTATTTATTTTCATAATAGTTATGCACCAGAATGCTTATGGGATTCATTTTATTTCTACGAGTGCTAAAAGGGTCAGTAATCCTATTAAACATATTTCTCTGGAAAATTAATTTATAGCCTTATTGAAAGAAATCTCACTTTACTGCTTCATGGTCTTAGAAAACAGTTGGAAACTTAATGTTGAAGCGTAACTCTCACTGCAGTACATTTGTTCAGAATGTTCTGTTCATCATGTTTTAGAGTTTTCTCTCTTTTAAAGCAATTTTAGAAGTTTAAAATTTGGTACATTTTGATAGTAAATATAACGTTCTGCTGCAGTGTTTATGGAGATATAATTAGCAATTTTAAATAATTGCTTTTGAATTGTCAGTAGTGTCTTCGGTGCAAGACAAATTAAATGATAAGATATGTTTAGAATATCAACAAGCAAATTTTATACACATATTTATATTTTTACTTTAACCTTGAGAGATTACAGTAGTTATTTCCAATTCTTAGTTTCTCTCTCCTCCACTCTGTCTGTATCTCTCACAACCTCGTTACTGTTGAAGGCTTTAGGCTAAATAATTAATTTCTACGAAAAGTAATTATTTCACTGGATATTCAATTTAAGCTAGTTTGGAAATTGAGGTGAACCTATGGTTATTTTATTATTAATTTCTAAGTAAGTCTTTGTTTTTCAGTCTTTATTTAAAAAGTAGAAGAAGAGAGGGGGAAAAAGAGAGGGAAGGAAGGAGCGAGGGAAGCAAGAAGGAGGGTAGAGAAAAAGAGAAATAAGAAAGATACGAGAAAGGTGTAATTTCCATCTGCTGTTTCATCCCCCAAATTGCTACCATGGCCTGGGCTGGGTCAGCCTTACGCTAGGAGTCCAGAACTCTAAGTGAGTCCCTCATAATGGTGGCAAGAGCCTAAACACCTTCTGCTGCTTTCCCAAGGAGGGGAATTGGAAGTGGATCAGCCAGGACTTCAACTGGCTCTTTGATGATGGATGCTGCTTCAAAGGTGGTGGCTTAATGCACTGTGCCACAATACTGGTCCTTCTCTCCTTTCTTTCTTAAAATATCTAGAATTCAATTTCCTAATTGAATCTCTGAATTTCTATATCAGCATACGATAGCATCTTTCTATCCACTTTCATATTTGAAGCCTGTAACCTACTTTTTATGTGTACATCAAAGTTCTTGTTTCAGCTTTTGATGTGTACTTTCAGTTTTAGTTT